TCTCTCTCTCTCTGTGTCTCTCTCAGGGTGTGATGGGCACACAGACTGCAGTCTGATCCTGTCTCTCTCTCTCTGTGTCTCTCTCAGGTTGTGATGGGCAGACTGCAGTTCCCTCTGGGCTTGGTGCAGTATGACAGCGACTCTGCCTCTCCGTTCCCTCTGGCCGCGCAGGTGGGGCTGGCGGGGGGGGCGGCAGTGGTGGTGCTCGTGGTGCTGGTCATCATCCTCATGTACAGGTGGGTACTGAGCTGTGTGCATGTTGTATGTAGTCCCACATGCTAACACACACACACACCCTAGAGATGATGGTGCTTTATCCAGACAGTTTAAACCCATACTGAAAGCCCTGAGAGGTGTGGACACTCAGCCCGGTGCTCTGCTCCAGGATCAACAGCGAATCAGACTCCAGATCACAGGGGAAGTGTGTTTAGACAGGAATGATGTGGGACTTCTTGACACTGTCCCTCACTCGCTCTTTCTCTGCTTCTCCCTGCTGTCCCTGCCTCACCCCTCTCTCCTCTCCCTCCAGGAGGAAGAGCAAGCAGGCTATGAGGGACTATAAGAAGGTCTTAGTCCAGCTGGAGACCCTGGAGATCAATGTGGGAGACCAGTGCAGGAAGGAATTTACAGGTATGGAGCGTTAACCACAACCACGGAATCTTTTCCACTGTTGTGGCGTCGTGCCGGTCACTGAGCCTGTAGCCCATGGCCAGTTGCCTGCAGCAGACCCGGACTCACTCTGTAGTGAGGTACACTGTGCTCTCTCTTCTCCTGCTCTGATCCTCCTTTCTCCTCCCCCCTGGCTCCCCCTCTCAGATCTCATGACCGAGATGATGGACCTCAGCAGTGACCTGGGGGGCCCGGGGATCCCCTTCCTGGATTACCGCTCCTACGCCGAGCGCGTCTTCTTCCCCGGCCAGCAGGGGGCGCCTCTGGCCCGCAGCCTGGAGCTGCCAGAGGCCCGCAGAGCCACCGTGGAGCAGGGCCTGAGCCAGCTGAACAACCTGCTCAATAACCGGGCCTTCTTAATCAAGGTGAGGTATCACTATTATTACAGTGGTAACTACCATGGTATTACTGTGGTAATTACTTTGCTATTACTACATTCTGTATAGCTACTATTCAGTTTTTCCATTAGTTTGATGCAAGATGTATGTTAATTTCATTGTATGTTAGATGGTAGATTATATCAGTAATGCAGGCGGATGAAAAATACTGTGACTAATTAGGCATTGTTTTGCACACCCTAAGACACTCAAAGTTGGAGAGCTGTGTTATGTGAAAAGCTAGTTTCTTCCCACACGGCACATAATGTCTGTTCCATTCTCATCTCCGATGAAATCTCCCCCACAGGTTATTGTTTAACTTGACGGCAGTGTGTTCTTGCTGTGTTGTAGCGCTGTCTGTTGCTGTGTGCAGGTCTTGATAATCCTTCCTCTCTCTCTCTTCCTGGGGTCCTCACGCCCCCCCCCCCCTCGCTCTCTCCCTGGACTCCCCGTCTCTCCAGTTCATCCACACGCTGGAGTCCCAGCAGGGCTTCTCTCAGCGGGACAGGGGCTATGTGGCCTCGCTCCTGACTCTGGCCCTCCATGACAAGCTGGAGTACTACACCGACGTGATGAAGGGGCTGCTGGGAGACCTGGCCGAGCAGTACGTGGCCAAGAACCCCAAACTCATGCTGCGCAGGTGAGGGAGTGATACACAGCAACGCCACTGTAGGAGCCCCACTGGACACACCCCTGTACACTGTAGGAGCCCCACTGGAACCCCCTGTACACTGTAGGAGCCCCGCTGGACCCTCCTGTACACTGTAGGAGCCCCGCTGGACACCCCTGTACACTGTAGGAGCCCCACTGGACACCCCTGGACACTGTAGGAGCCCCACTGGACACACCCCTGGACACTGTAGGAGC